GCGCTCCCTGCTCCACCCTGCCCCCTGCTAGTGCCACCGGCACCCCCAACCCCAGCCTGAGGTCGGTGCACGCGCGGGGCCAGCTTGAGTCTTTTCCTTGTGAGACGCCTGCGTGGCATGAGTCCGCAGGTTGTCATCTGCTTGCGCAGTCAAGAGTCTCATGGGAGCTTCACTTGTGTTGCCACATCCTTCTGTGCGCCCAGGTCTACTTTTCTGTCTCTGCCTCCGTCAAGCAAAGATGGGCTGCGGGCAGGGGGCAGCTGGGGACCAGCGGGGAGACCACAGCCTCAGCCCGAGGCGACCGTGGGTGTATGACATGGCCCGCATCCTGGACAGGTAGCAGCCCCTCCCCAGGCCCACTGTCCCCGCCCACGGAATGCCCCAGTGGTGCTGGGCTGCCTGCCAGCCCTCCCCACGCCACAGACTGGTCTCAGGCGCAGAGAAGCAGGAGACCATGCAGGACTGGATTCCCGGACTGTATTTGTCCCAGATATAAGTTATGGTCACCTTCAGGTAGTGGTAAGTTACACGTGAGGGAGGGCATCAGTGCGGAGCCCCCTCTGGGGACACAGACTCACTTAAATTCGGAGGACCTGACCACCCACAGGGCCTGCAAAGCAAAAGCCAAGTCCACCCCCAGGGACACAGACGTGAGAGTCTCACACATCACACGTGTTCCAGAGGAACCCAAGAAGGCTGCTCGTCACTTGCAGCCCTTACGATGCATGTCTGGGTGGTTTCAGCACAAGCTTGGGGGGCTGGGTGGGGCCACATCTGAGGTTGAGGCCAAACGTCCTGGTGATGCTGCCGCCTGAGGTGTGAAGGCTAGGAGGCCCGACTGCCAAGGGCGAGGGTACCAGACAGTCAGGAGAGGCGGGCCTTCTGGGGCGCGGGGCGCGCTAGGCAGCTTGTTACATTTTGATCAGGTTCCCCTGTGGGCTGAGCCAGCTGGACCTGGGTTCAGCAGCAGGGCTGTGGTGAGCGGCCCACCCAGCAGCCACAGCCATGTCCCATGGCACTGAGCCCCCCCCCATGGAGAAGCAATGAGCAGACATGGAACTGGCTTGGCGACTGGACAGATGGAAGGAAAGGCCCCACACTGAGCTCAGTGATTAAAGCCACTGCTCCCCACTTCACACACTCCTGACTCCCTCTGGGCTCCCGGCCAGGCCTGCTGCTCCCTGCTGGGCAGCACACCAGGTCTCCAGGGAGTAGCCAAGCACCTGCCTCCCCAGGTGCATCCCTGTCACTCCAGGGCCACCAACCCAGCTCAAGGCCAGGCCCAGCCAGGCCCTACCCAGGCCAGGAGAGGACACACCTCCCCCAAGACAGACAGCAGGCACCCTGCCCAGGTCCAGTGGTGAAGTGAGGCCAGGGGAAATAGTGCCTGAGGGGTCCTGGGTCCGTCCTGGGCACATCCAGGGCCCGTGAGCGTAGCCAGAGGGGTGGGAGGTGCAGTCCAGCACTGCCCCTCTCAAGGGGTTCAATGGAGGCACAGGAACACAAAGGGAGGAGTGCTTGCCCCCCAAGGACAGTGGCCCGGGCCCCAGGGGGTGAGAGGGGTGGCCAGTGGGAGCCCCATGCCCAACACCCACCCTGCAGCTTCCATGTGGCACAGGGATGGGGACAAGGAGACACCTGTGGTCAGAGCTGTGTTTGAGTCCCTCTACCGCAGGCACTTCTGCAGGACTCCAGGGCCCGCCTCTACTTGGAGTCTCCCTCGGGGGCAGGCTCCCCATCCATTCGTGCATCCCTGGGGGGCCCAGCCTTCCTGGGCTTCTGCTTGGCCTTCCTGAGCATGTGGACCTGTCCCAGGACAGACAGGGTCAGACGGCTGCCCAACACTGCAGGCGCCTGGCCTGGGGCTCCTGTAACAGCTGGTGCCACCTCAGCCCACTTCACGGGATGGGAAGGAGCAGGAGGCTGAAGCCTGCTGCCCTAGAGATGCCCTCCCCTCTGAGGCACCAGGGGGCTCATTTCCATGAGAAACAGGTGCCCCTTAGGGGCTGGCCAGCCTCTTCCGGGCCCTGTGACCTCCCTGGGCACCTGGCCAGGCCAGCCAGTACCAAGCCCACCCGACTGCTGGCTCTCCGGCCGCACCCAGCTCAACCCACACTTAACACACCTTGGGGCCTGCAGCTGCGATGATCATGTGCCCGGGAGCCTGGACCCAGGGCTCGCCGTCCACCTGCACAGGTGTGGCCTTGAGGAGGGTGACACGGAAGTAGGACCCCTGGGCGATGCGGATACCAGAGCGCAGCCCACCCTGGACCTGACCCTGGGGGCCAAGAGGGCGAGCCTCACTCAGCGGGCCCTGACGGACACCTCGGCCCTGGTCCCCACGCCCCGGCCCCCACACTTACCATGTGCACAACGCCCGTCACCCCCACCACCTCCAGCAGCCCGTCATCCATGCGTGGCTTCTCGAACTTGGAGTCATTGTCAGAGCCCCACAGGTCGGCCCCCGAGCCCCAGCTGCACCAGGAGGGAGGGGCATACAGGTAAGAATGCCCGCTGGACAGAAGGCCGGAGGAGGACAGAGCCCAGGAGCACCCCCCCCGCCTCCCTGGCACCTGGGGATATTGATGAAGATGAGGCCCTCGATGTTGGGCAGCTCCACCTCCTGCTGCTCCACCTGCAGCCGGATCTCCCGGTGCAGCCCGCGGGCCTGGCTGAGCTTCTGCAGCCCCACCCGCACGTACACGCCCTTGTTGTGGAGCCTGTGGGGCAGGGCAGCCTGCATCACAAGGTGGGGTGCGACCCCCGCGGCAGCCCCCGGGTCCTAGCCCCTGTCCCTCTGTCACTGCCGGGGGCCCCAGGAAGTAACCGCTCCTGCCCCCGCGCCTCTAGCACCTGCTCGTGAACTTGCCAGGCTCTTCCTCCCGAGCCTGGTGGAAGTCCAAGCTCAGCTCTGCATCGATGCCAATCCCACAGTAGTTACTCATGTGTACGATCTGAGAACAGGAAATCCTCCCGTGGCCCAGTCCACCCCCACCAGGTGCTCCCCACCCCCCCCAGGTGGGTCCTGCCTCCTCGTCTCAGAGCAAGTGCTTCTGCACCCAAGAGGGGGCAGTGTGGCACATGACCCAGCACGGCCAGTCCCCACCCTGTGCCTCAGCTTCAGGGGACAGCACTGGCGCCGACACCAAGGTGTGGCTGGGACGAGGACAAGGGCCTGGACAGATGTGGTAGTCGCCCACAGGGGCCCAACGGTGCCACACCCTGACCTGGGCACAGCAGTACCTTGGGCGGCTCTGCGTCCACCACACTGCCCTCCCCTCCACCAGCCTCCTGAGCGTCCAGCAGGATGGTCCAGCGGTCCATGAGCACAGCGTCAGCCTCGTCCACCGACAGCAGCACAGAGAATGGATCCTCTCCACTGTAGCCCGCCCCCCAGCGGAGGACCCGGCCCAGGTCATTCCCTGGGACACCGGCAAGAACCACACTGATTCTCCACAACCACCTGCCCACCACCCCAGGCCCCGACTGAAACGGGGCAGAAGGGACAGGCCCCCGAGCCCCCCTCAACCCCCTGGGTGACCTCACCTGTGCCCAGGGGCAGGATGGCCACGGCAGGCTCTGGGCAGGCCAGACGGTGCCGCACCTCCTCCAGGGTGGCGAGCACCCAGCCCACAGTGCCGTCCCCTCCACACACCAGCACCCGGAAGCAGGGTACCTGGGAGAACATGTGGAACCTGGCAGCAGGGAGACACGGTGTATCCTACCACCAGCCACATTCACAGCCACGCAACAGGAGGGCACAGGCAATCACCCCTGGGGCAGAAGCGGGTCGCAGCTCCTCCCACGTCCACGACGGCCCTTGAGGATTCTGCCCGTGAGCCATGCGAGCACTCTTGCTCCTGCAGCAGTGGGGCCCCACAGGACTCACCCAGGCAGAGGCCCCCCGTTGGTCAGCTCGAAGACCTGGTGCGGGTTCAGCAGCTTCCGGAAACTGCAGAGCAGATCGCGGCCCTTGAGGCCTCCGCTTTTGGGGTTCACAAACACAAGGAGGGGGCAGCAGTCTGGGGGCAGCTTCGTGTGCTGATAGACAGGAGCTGCGTTAGGGCGGGCTCCCATGGCTGCCACCCAGAGGCAGAGCTGCCTGGGCAGCGGCGGCCCTGGCCCTGAGCCCACCTGGCCAGAGCCCCCTCCTGACAGAGGCACACACAAGCCCCACCTAGCCAGTGGCCACTCGGGTCGCCTCCCACAGCAGAGGGGGCACGCACAGTCCACTGGCTGATGGGGCAGGGTGGTGCTGGCCAGCCGGGAGCTCCAAGCACACAGGCCATGCCGCACCCGCCACGAGGTGAGTCGTCAGACCACACTTGCTGCCTGATGCTTGCGGCCTGCAAGCCCAGGCTGGAAGCCTACGCAGGACGCCACCTGCCCCCTCGGAGCCACCTGGCTCCCAGGGCCCCGAGCCACTCACACCGCAGTCAGGAGGGGGCCTCTCGGCCTTGGGACAAAGCTCATCCCCCACACACAGCCACAGAAACAGTGTCCAAGAGAGGTGGCAAGGGAGCTGGGGACCCTACGACAAGGGATGCTGGGTGACAGGAGACAGACAGGCGCAGACATGGTGGGCAGTGGCGGCTCACGGGCTCAGCCGTGGCTCAAGGCCTAGGTAGGACACACTTGGGGTGACGTGTGACCTACTGGGCAGAGCTGCCTACAGTCACCACTTACCCGCTCACCCCAGGGCAGGCAGCTGCCAGGAGAGAGAAAGCACATGTTGGCATCACCCGCCCGGGTCTGCCCACAGGGGCCCTGATCTGCAGTGCCTGCATCCTTGTCTGGACAGTGGGAGAGCCACTGGTCCTGACCCTGCTCGGGGTGGGGCAGGGCAACTGAGACCTGAGGATGTTGCCCACTCAGCCACAGACCCTAAACTCAGCCCGCTCTAATTCTGCTCAGCCTGAACTAGGGTCACGGGTCATGGACACCTGGGTGGGGGTTCCTCGGGGGCCAGCAAGGCTGAGGGCCAAGGCACATACCCAGCACAGGGCGGGGTCCAGGGCACTGCTGGGTCTTTAGGACAGCCTCCAAAGTCTGGCCAGAGGAGGCCCAGGGTGTGAGCAGGGGTCCAGAGGCCTCCTGGGCAGGGAGGGTGGGGCCAGGGCCAGTGACTCAAGCGAGACCAAGGGCCATGCACAGTCACAAATACAGGCCAGCCCTCAGGAGGCAACCACTGCAGGGCCACTCAACGGGTGTGCACGCCTCACCACTGGGCCTTGGGCCCTCCCTTGGTGTGGATCAGCCAGGCATAGCCAACTCGGACTTTGCTCCAACTGCTCCAAGTATTAGACAAATCAGCCATAGAGGCCACGCCCCCCAGGCCCCTACCCGGTGCTACTCACCAGCACATCCGGGAGCACCAGGGCAGTCAGCGGCCGGCTGTGAACAGCCGTGTCCCTGACCAGCATATACAGCCGCTCGGCCTCGGCGAAGCAGGCCACGTCCAGCACCACGGCACCTGTGGCAGGTCAGCCATGAGCTCAGGTGTCTGTCCTGGAGCTCCAGCCCCTGTGGTACCTGGGCCAGGGGCCTTGCCTCGCCTCCTCCAGCGGGCCAATGGCCTCATCTCTGGCCACGGCCTGCTTCCAGCCAGCCCATCACAAGATGCCCCATGGTGCGTGACTCTCTCCCCTGGGGGGAGGCTTCAAGGACAGCTGGGCTCAGAGACAGGGCGTGCTGAGGGGTACAAGCAAGGCTCCCAGGAGGCAAGGGGAGCAGACATGCACCTGAGTCTCCCGGCCGCGCCGAGCCTCCCAGGACCCAAGAGAGGCACGGAGGGCATGGGTCACTGCTATGGACCCACAGAGGGGACGCAAGGCTCATGGTACTTCTCTGCCACTTCTCGGGTGATGTGACGTTTTCCGTGGTAAAAGGTGTGCACCCACAGACGGGTCACGGGGGACACGTCCTCTGCACCTCAGTCACGCTTTTAGGCAAGAGCGTTACAGCCACGAGCCAGGAAATTAAACACAAACGTTTCCTGGGCCCACGGGTCACCAGCGGGACAAAGCAAGAGAGCAGGGCTCACATCTAGCCCATGAATACCCTCTGAGCAAACCTGATCTCAGCCTGTGGGGCATCTCACCTTGAGAGGAGTAGATGTGGCTCATGGACACCAGGCCAGCTGCAAAGATGGATTGTGGTCAGGAAGTGCAGCACCTGCCCCAGGCCCTGCCTCCCAGGGCTGCCCATCCCAGACAGCACCCCCCACTCCAGGCCCAGGGCCCCCCCCCAGGGCCCAGGGCAGGCATCTCAGAAACCCCTCAGAGGAGGTGACGGGGTCTGGGCCCCAGAGGTGAGGACAGAGACCCTCTCGGCCAGAAACCAGCTCAGCAAAGGCTCCAACAGTGACTGGGAGTAGCAGGGGAGCAGGAGGACCCAGCCTTGCACAGCAGCCCACAGGCCTGCTCTCAGGACACCCGCCCTGACCCACTGTGACCAAGAGCCTCAGACCAGCCCAGGCAGCCACACCTTTCAGGGACATAGCCTCGTCCAGAAGACTGCTGTACTCCTGGGGAGACAGGCCAGGAGGCAGACCTCCCACGAACAGAGAGACACGTGGGGCCACTGCTCTTCTCTCAGCCACATAGAACCGCGTCTGGCTCATCTGCCGTAGGGACGTCTGTGGGCAGGGGAGGGACACTGAGCAGAGCACAGGGGACGAGCCCCACCACCCTCCCTGTCCACAAAGGGGGCCGAAGGGAAGATTCCCCAGGCTAAGCTCCCCTTGAATGGAAGAAGCAGGACACACAGGCTTCCTCCCTTGGGGAACTCAGGGGGAGGGGAAGCACTGCTGGCCAAGGTTAGCTGCAGGCCAGGGTGGATATGGCATCCTAAGGGCAGACTCCCTCTCTGTGAGGCAGAGGCCCTGGCCTGGGGCCAGTGTCCACACCCACTGACCTGCCGGATAGCTTGAAGCCGGCCAAGCAAGAGCTCCTCGTCCGCCAGCACCATCCGCTGGACTGCAGGGTTGAGAGACGCCGCCCATCAGCACCTAAACCCCAGCCACCTCTGCAAACAGCTGCCCGGCGACCCCAGGGCACTGGGGCAGAACTGGCCTGGGCATCAGCTGCAGGCTGCCTACTCACCTTGCCTGCTGCCCATGAGCACCTCCAGCAGCTGGAAGCCCTCCGGACCCTCGTCCTGTAGGGATGGACTTTGGAGTATCAGACCTGGATCCCCCCCCACCCCACCAGGACCCACACGGGGCAACCACCCTGGGGTGTCTGGGACCAGGGCAGCCCGAGTACACACCTGGCGTCCAAGTAGTGGGAGGACCTCCAGCACCACAGTCTGGGCCGTGCTCTGCGGGGTCACACGAAGGGACACGTAGGCCACACCGACCCTGCAGGGGACGAGTTCAGGAGCTCTGGTGGCATGGCCCCCACCCTCTCCTGCCAGCACCACTGCCCCAGGCCTGGGCCTCACTTGAGCCAGGCAGGGTAGATCTTCAGGACCTCCTGGGTGCGGGGTAGAGCACGAATGACCCAGGCCTCGGGAACGTCTCGGGACCCTGGGCCTCTACTGCCCTCGTCCTCGGCAGTCCCACCGCTCCAGACCTTCCCCAGGGCCTCGGTGTCAGCGTCACCAGCCTGTGTGGGTGGGGGGAGCGCCTGCAGCTGGAAGGCCTGGGGGTCCTCCATGATGTAGTAGGCCCGCAGCGCCGCCTCCTGCAGTGGGGGCCGGTGTGACAGGAGCCAGGCCGTGCCGGGCGCCCTGCAGCTCCCCCCAGGAGTGGGCCTGCAAGGCAGCTCCTTCTCACCAGCACCTCCTGGCTCCTGGCCAGGCGGGGACGCTGATGACACGGAAGTGGTTTCTCTGCACTGTGTCGTTGCCATCGAAGATCTTCAGAGTTTGCTTGCCTGGGCCACAGGGAAGTGGGTGCAAGTACATGGGGTCGGGGATGGAAGAGGAAATGGGGGACAATATGGGGGCAGAATAAGGGATGAGCGAACAGGAGATGGGATGGGGGACTGGGCAGCAGCTAAAAGGCCACTTACTGGACTCAGGCGCCGCCACCTCTTTACCAGGGCCAGCAGGGGCGCTTCCGTCCACACCATCGTCCCCATCACCTGTGGGAGGTCTCAGCTGGCCTCAATCAAGGCCTGCCCCCCCAGCCCAGTGCCAGTCCTTGCCGCCCGTCGCTCACCTGGCTCCGGGGCCGCGCTCTCGGAGATACGAAAGCAGTGCATCTTGCTGAAGTTGCGGGACAGCAAGCGCACGCACGCTGGGGGCAGGACCATGGTGCGCAGGCGCCCGAAAGTGCACTCGGGGGTGAGCGCCGCGGAGCAGACCGAATGGGCCTGGGTGGGGGTTGGGGTCAAACTTGAGCTGGGGCCCTCAGTGACTCCCCAGAGGTCCACACTGAGTGCCCCTGGTGGGGGGTTGGGCGCCACCCGCCAACCAGAAGAAGCCCTGATTCTCCCCTGTACATCCGAACCCCTATTCCCCAAAGTCAGAAAAGAGCGCGATGCAAACAAGCTCGGCGAGAAGGGGCGCCCCCACAACCCCTACCCTGCTTTGCCACTGGGCGGTGCAGCCCGCCCTCACAGGCCCCGCCCCGGCCCCGCCCACCTGGACACCGCACCACTCGCAGCGTACACCGGCCAGCACGTCGGAAGAGCTGCACGTCTTCCGGCAGACCTCGCAGCGCGCGCCCGAGGACAGGTTCCCCTCCCGCCAGTGGTGGTGGTGTGTGTCCTGCGGAGAGGGCTGTCAGCGGGCTTGGCAGGGCCCCGGTCCCCCAGTGGCCCTCCGACCAGGCTCAGGCGTCCCTGGCCCTGCGCACTCACGTGGTCCCGGTGCCCGTCCAGGTGGCACTGGCGGCAGTCGCTGCAGGCGAAGGGCACACAGTCGGGGTGAACGTGCAGCTCACACACTGGGGGGCGGGCAGGGTTAGGGGCCTCTCACCGCTCCCCAACGACCCTGCCTGCCTGCTTCCCGCCAGCCTCTCAGCTCTGGCCGGGTCCGCCCCTGGCCCTGGCCGCACTTCCTTTAACCTTCCTGGGCCCAACGTGTGCAGCAGGAGCAGTCCCCCATCCCTCAGCGGGATGGAAGCCAGCTTCTCCCCATCCAGCCCACCTCAGCAAGTAGCCGGCGCCCGTGCGCCCCCTGTGCCTCTGTGCCCCCTGCGGCCCCGGCACCTGCCTCCGTGCACTGGCAAGTCTAGAATCAGCAAACACTGCCGCCCCGCCCCTCCCCAAACCAGAGCAGCTGCCTGATCGCAGGGAGGGCTGGGCCACCCTGGGCAGGTCCCTGTGAGGGCGTGGGGCTCAGACCCCAAGGATGCGAAGCAGGCTCGAGGCAGATACCTTCGCAGCGAAGCGCGGGCGCCTCCAGGCCCTTTCGGCAGACGGCACAGAACTTGCGCTTGTAGTGACCCCGGGGGCCAAAGCAGTGGGCCACAGGGACCTGGAAGGGGCAGAGCTCTGCCTTAGCCTGGGGCCTACAGCCGGGCGCCACACCCCCGATCCTGTCCCCCAAGCCCCGCTTCTTCTCTGTCCCAGGGAGCTCCCATCACCATCTGCCTGACCACTATATGCCCCTGAATCTTCCTGAGCACTATTAACACGGTGCTGTGTGTGCCTCTCGCCTCTGCAGGCTCCCAAGGAGTCCTGCTGGGGACTGCCCAGCATGCCCATGCCCCATTCTGTGCAGGACGAATTCAGGGTGGCCCCAGGCTGTGATCTCTGACAGCCCCCTCTGCAGCTCAGACCCCAGCTGGTCCTGCCCAGGCCTGATCCAGCTGTGCGGGCCCTGACCACTCCCCCAAGCCTGTTGCCTTCCATGATGCATTTTGGCCCCCTGGATTAAAACACAGGTGAAGGGAGGCCCAATGACAGGCAGGAGAGGCAGTACTGGGTACCTGGGACCCCGGAGAACCACAGGGCCAGGGTCAGAACCACCAGGAAGTGAGGCCCAGCCTCTGCCCAGGGAGGGGCCCACGTGCAGGGATGCAGTCTGTGGCTCAGAAGCCCAGACCAGCACAAGGGGACACTCCCACCCCAGCCCCTCAGGGCTTGTGCCACTGCCCACCCCATCCAACCCACCAGCCTGACTCCCAGCCCAGCCTCTGCCACAAAAGCTGGCCTCCCCAGACCCTCCACACCCTCCCCTGGCAAGTGCAGTAGCCCATGCTCCATACGCACGTGGACCAGGCTCGGGGCCACGCTCGTGCGTGGGTCTTCTCGTGCTTCACGCTCTTCTAGTGGACATGGATTGCAGTATGAGAAGTGTGCTGTGTCGTCGCCCCATTCCAGGCCACGAGGAA